TCAATTTAGTAATACAATTTTAATTATCCTGCCTTTTATTTTGAGCACAACCTTTATGTTATAAATTAATTATTTTTAGGTAAACGTTTTCAATAAGAATTTTTAAATACTTCTCTTTTTCTTTTGGAACTTTACATTAAGGAATAAGGAGTTGGGGCAAATTTAGCGAAAGGAAAGAAATAGACATGGGAAAAGTACTTGAAACAGTCAAGATTTTGTTTTTCTTACATTTGAGATATATATTTAATGATTAATAGAGAGGTTTCAAAAAGCAATAAACTACAACAATAAAATCTTTTTATATTACTTCTTATAATTTATAATAGTTTTTAATAATAGTTTTATAATAGTTTCCATTTAATAAATAATCACTGCGGTCATAACAGGCGTTAAATTACAATTGAATGATTAATAAAACAAAGAAGCGCAATATTTGGACACTCTTGCAAAAGCTAATTTGTATATAGTATATATAGTAAATATATATAATATATAATATGTAATATATAATATATAATACATATATAATTATATATTATATTTTATATTCCAGATTCTGCGATATATGAATAATTAGACGATAGAAAGTTTAGACAACCTAACTACTACAATCTGAAAGATTAGGTTGTTTGACTAATAATTCCTTTTTTTTTTGCAAATATAAGAAATGATTCTACTAGAGTATATAAGTATTGTATAGTTTAATAAATTCTCAGTTTTGGTCTTATACCTATATTCATTTATCGGACCATTGTATCAAGTCAAATGTATCAAATTTATTAAAAATTTATTCTTGACTGGTTTCCTTCATTCTTGACATTTATTTTTAAAACATGTACAAGAAATAATTTGAAGGTACTAGATTGTAAAAACTTTTGGCAATTTACCAAACAATCGATGATCGTTACAAAATGTCATGACTCACTAAATCACATCGCACATCACACGTTCTCTTTTTCTTAGGTTCCTAGGCATAAGAGTATCAAAAGGAATGAGGTAGTAGACGAGATAATCAGATGAGCTTTTCAAATGTACGTAATTTGGTCGACAACTGTTTAAAAGCAAAAAAGAATGCTTCCTTCTCCATAGCGACGACAAATGACTTATGGACTAATCGCGACGAGTGCCACGTTGTAAGAACTACAGTGCATCCCAGATTAGATAAAAATGAAACAAAAATTTTTTTGAGTTTTAATAAACCTGTAGTTCCTGAACTTACTGGAGTACTAACGGAACACCGTGTTATTGTACCAATGCTTTAAACTTGGCGTTTTTTGATAAGTGGACTCTGTAGGCGTTGCCCTGTAAAAGAAGAGATACAACCCATTCATAATTTTCTATGCTCAATTTTGGTATTACAGATGAAGTGTTCAGACACTACTTCTTTATCGGCATTACAGGCATCGGTGGTTGACTTGTCAGGTCTTTTTAGATTTATCTGATATACCAAGTAGTTAATTAAAGATAAGTAGATAATAATTATTTTTCTGAAGTACAAGTTAATTTGAATAGAACAATATACCTTCACGATCTAAGCGCAGGGTTTTTTACAACGTAAATTATTATCATTATCATTATTAGTGGCGCAACGATCCTAGTTAAATCATAGCCTCCCTTTGAAAATTCCTCCACGTATCTCTGTCGTTTGCTGTTATTCTCCAGTTTCTTCTTCAAAGCTGTTGTGCTGTTTGATCAACATTGTCTATCTAGCATCAACTCAGACGCTTTTTATTCCTTCTTCCTTCTGTATATGCAGCAGATTTTTTTGTTGGGTAATCCATGCTCTTTCTTTGAATATGTCCATCCCTTTGTAATTGCTTTAGTTAATTTTTTGCTTATTGCTGGTTCTCCTAGCTCTTTTTGTCATTCGTTATTAAATCTGAGCCAATAGGTGCTGTCTTCTTCTTGAATTGGACCAAGTATGCGACATATAATCTTGCGTTCGAAGATATCTAGCTTATTTTTATCAGATTTTTTCATAGTCCAAGTCTCTGCATCATACATTAAGATTGGAGATATCAGCGTTTTACATATGCTTGATTTTGACTTTTTAGTAAGCATATTTGAACCTAATGCTTTATAGCTTTTATTTGCTGCCTCCATTCTTTTATTTATTGATTGACTGCAATTATTGGTTGGGTTTATTCCGGATCCAAGATACTAGAAGATTTTAACTTGCTCGAAACTGCTGTCACCTATTTGAATAAGGTGATTTGCGGATTGACAATTATTTAAGGTTTTAAATTTTTGATTAATTATTTCTGATTAAATTTTTGTGATTAAAACCAGTCTAGTACTTTAACCAGCCAAAAAATCTGAAAACAATATAAGAGTATTCGCATCAATTTGGTAAAAATAAATTGTTTTTCTCATTTATATTCAATTGACTTTCAATATTGTTTTTCAATTGATCATTTCAAGTTTTGTCTGGATGAACTCGTAAATAAAGTTTCAATCATAAAAACGAATATCCTTTATTACGTTAGCCTGAGTTCACTGGCTCTTAATGCTACCTTAACGAAACCACATCTTCTTCGCGTCTGCATGAAATTCTATTTTACTGTCACCGTGTAAATGCAATTATAACCATAATTGAAGATTGTTTTCCTGATTGCTGAGCACTCAGATTGACTCAATTGTGATGTGGCTTCACTACAGATGCATTGCTAGCATTTTAATGTCATAATGAAACAGGCTTAAATGAATTAATTTGTTGTATTTTATCTTCCATTTTGAGTTCACAAACAATTTTTTCCATATCAAATTTTATTTTCATTCATTATTGCATTCCTTTTATTTTATGTGCCATCATGAAATTCAACTGATTCCTGCTATTGTAAGAAGGATTATTCGAGCAAAGTATTGTGGCGGCTTGGAAAATACAATTTCATCTCCTCATCTTCATTGTTTCATTCCACTTAAACTACCTAATTGAGTTTCAATACTTTTTTATTACTTTCATGCTACTTTTTGCTGAGATTTCTTGTTTTCTGCTTCAACAATTATTTGATGGTTATTAACTGTCCAGTAGTAAAATAGACCAAGAGATACAGAAGTCGCATTAAATAGTATAAAAACGCTGAGAAGTGCACTTTTAGTATAGTAAGAATATTTAGAAAAAGGTTTTTACTAGCGATTTTCAATCAAAGTTCTTTCTTTCCTTTATCTCTTTTCTTTAGAGATAATCTTATATTAAGAAAAAATTTATTGCATCAATAAAAAAATAAAGAATACTATACATTCAAAGATTGTCTTTTCCAATAAAGAGTAACACCAAAAAAAGTTAAGAACCGATAAGTTTATTGCGGCAAAGCAATTGACGTTTTAAAGTCTAGTAAATATTAACAAGTCAAGAGAAAAAGTCGTGGTTTAATTTATCAGGTATAATTACTTTGAGAAGTATTCGATTCTATTAATACAACTTTTTACATATTAATAGGCGAGAGCTTTAAGATAAGCTATAATTAAGGTTCGATTGCTTTTTAAAATAAAGTATAATCTTTTTTCTTGAAAGGTATTACGCGTACCTCAGAGCATTCTGAATAAGTGTATAGTGACTAATATACAGGTGGAGTACATATCATGTGGGGAGGACTTGGACATCTTTATAAGGGATTTGAGACATAGTGTGTTATATCGAAGGAAAAGTGCTTCATACTTCTTCTTCAGTATTAGCGTTTTATACTTCTTCATTATTAGAGATTGTTATTTTGCGAATTGATACTTGAAACGCAACCGTAAGAAATGCATAGTTTTTGGATTATATATAATATATTTCTCACTTCATCTTAATAGATGGAGAGAGTTGAGCACTTGTAGACAGACCAAACTCATGTTGCCGGAACCGTGGGCCAGGGAAGCGATAAAAGTGCTTAGCTATTCGCGGAACACTCTAAGCTGGCTGACCTCACTAATTACTGGACATAGAAACTTCAAGTATCACCTCAAAAAGATAACTCTTGCTGAGGAAGACACTTGCAGACTATGTCTAGAAAAAAAGGAAACAGCGGTACATATATTGTGCCAATGCTCAGAACTGGCAAGTAGGAGGAAGACTGTCTTGGGACATCATTGGGTTGGTGATGACTTGGCAGGAAACCTCAAGCTAAATGAGCTGCTTGCAATAACAAAAGATGTAGTTATGAGTATGGAAGCTACCCCAGCTTTAACTCAATAACAACATCCAAGAATCGAAGGACGAAAAAGGATCCAAGTAGTTTCGTGGTTTACTTCGACTAATCCTTCATTTCAGTGGGGCCACTTGCTGGACAGTGCGCTGTCCCAACGTCCCACCATATATATATATATATAATATATTTCTTTATAAGCACATTTTTGTACACTTATTCTACTTTTATGAATTCGACTTAATACTTTTTCATTCTATGCCGATGATATTTGTTTGTAATTATTACTTTTTTATTGAATCGTTTCGACCATCTCAAAAAATAGACGCCATAATATCTCCAGTCAATTGTTTCCTTTGTGAACTTTTTGCTTAAATCTGAACTATTGGTGCCCATTTTACTTATTTCTAATTTATTTTTGAAGTGCAGTTATACAAATCTCATGGATAATTCCTTCTTATTATTCTAAACTTGTCTACATTACATTAACCATCGCACTTTGCTATGTATATATAAAAAATAATAGAACAATATCAGGAATGTCGAAGTAATTTCGTAATGGTTCAGGTCTTACGCCACAAACCTCCCCAATACCTATCCCTTTATCTCGATGAGCGGGACTCTGATCCCTCCATCATCCCTCTCTTCAGCTGCGGTCTCGTGCCTTCGATCACAGAGTCCACCACTATTACCTCCGCGCTTTCACAATAATTCCTTCGTCTTCACTAATACCCAATTTCTAATTACGCCCATGCTTTTTGGTTAAGATAAATCTAGTTTTTATTTTTGTAATAATTTAGTTTTTAATTACAAGAGGAATTAAAATTATAAAACATGTACTTTCGATTATTTCAGTTAAATCCACGCAGAAAAATGTTACTTCGAAACCCTATCGACAGAAATCAGAAGTTGGATTCAAGCCTTGCTACGCGTTACTTGTGGATTAGTTGGCGTATATCTGGCGTGTATCCACCTAAAAAATATCGTACCGCTTATTATATTTACGCCGTCATTTCAAATTTAATTGCAGTATTATTGCCTATTTCAACGATCACCAATATCTTTTTTATCAAGGGTTTGCAACTTATGGTAGAAAATCTTTCATTAACGGTTACAGTAGTAACTGCAACGATTAAGCATTTTATTTTATATCTCTATCAAGATCATTTACTACAAACAAATATTTATTTAAAAAAACTTGACAAACGATCCAATGAACATCCTAGAGATCGTTATCACGTACTGTTCGCGATTCGCATATGTCATATCTTCTATTTGGTATACAATATATTGTTCACTGTAGCTGCTTATGGATTTGCGGTTATTGGAGTAAGAACACATCAGTTATTGTTTAATGGCTGGTATCCAGATTTTTTCAATGACGAAACAAAGAATTATCATGCAGCATTTATATTTCAATTTCTTGCTATTACAATATATGTATTCCAAAATACAAACAATGACATGTACCCACAATGTTATGTGGCTATCATGATTGGACACTTGCGTGCGTTAATTGAAAGAATCGAGAGAATCGGTAAAGATGATAGAGTCAGTGATGAAGATAATCTGGATGAATTATTGGCATGCATTCAAGATCATAAAAATATTTTAAAGTAAGTTTTATAGTAAAGATATTAATATATTTATGCATTAATATTATTTCTGACATTTTCTTTTGTATGTTTGATAAGTTTCTCTGGTGTTTCTAAAGTTTTTTCATAAAAATTGCATATTGAGTAAATAATGCGTTATATCAGTTAAAAATTAATATAATACTTAAATAAGGAAAACTAAAATATATTGAAATTGTTTAGTTTTGCTTATCAGTTGATTACATTGTCAAAGGATGAATATATTTCTTAATCTCACAACTGAATGCGCCCCAGTATAGAAGAGTTATTCTACTCTGAAAAGCTTTTGCTAATAAACTTTTATTCAATCGGTATGAGTCCCATATATCAAATGCAACCATTCTGAGATATTTTTATAAGAATTATAAAATTCTGTGTAGTAAGTTTACTATTTTTATTTTTTTCAAAATAACTGCTAAAATATTCATTATACTATTTATACACCGTTACCCAGTAAAAAACGGATTGATCTATCATCAAAAACGTCTCAAAGACATAGACGCATGCCTGCAGACCGGTCGATCCAAATGTATAAAGGTCTTCGAACACATTTTTGAACAAATTACTCAATTGTCTTCGAACACATTTGGTGTACATGTCTGGAAGACTGGATCCATCCATGTCTTACATATCGGATGCATTTGATTAAAAATAGTGTGCTCTTAGCGTTACAACTCAATTAATTATTTTGCATATTTCTTCTTTTTTATGCTCTTTAGATTGTAAATTTTGTTTCACTTTAAGTAAGAAGAAAGAAATTTGTACGTGAATATTTTTTATTATTTAATTTATAACTCTAAATTTATTTATTAAAATAAATTAGAATTAAAATAAATTGGAAAATATGAAGGGAATAGAAAATTTTACCTTACTAAATGCTTATTCTCTTCACTTAAAATTGGCACTGATAATAAGAAAGACATGGCGATTTAGGTTGTTGTGAACACTACAAATAAAGAGAGTAATATAATAGACTACAATTGAAGAGCGTTAATATAATAAAGACTCTTTACATTTATGTTTTAAGTAATTGTTTCGGAGAATTGCTTAATCATGCGGACGCAGTATAAAAGCCTGTCTTTAAGACAATGTGTTCAAAAACGACTTTTCCAACTAGGGATCGCTCCAATTAATTAATTTATTGTGTTTGTAGGACATTAGTACTATATGTAAGTCCATTTTATTTAGTTATTACTTTTATAATAATTCTTAAGGAAAAAAAATTCGGTTTATTGAGCTTTATTAAAACAATTATTTGGTACCATAAGTTTTCGAGTAAAATATGTAAATGTAATGTAAGGTTTTTTAAAAAAGTCATAATAATGAAAATTAAGTACATCACATACTGAATTGGCTTATTTAAAATAGTTTCAAATTTTATTGCAACTCTCTGTACAAAAGTATTTAGCAAGAATTAAACTACTTAACTCACTTCTGCCGCGTTCCGCTGTTAAACTCCAAACTCCAAAAATTTCAGAATGTTCCAATGAAAGGTGCGGCACATGACAATACGATGAGGAAAGTAAAGTTTGGAATGGAGGATGTACAACTTTGTTGGGAAGCTATTTAGCATGTTATCTTTATTTAAATCAGGTACCGAAAATAAAAGGAAAAATAAACAGAGTTTAACTTACTTCAACGTGAAATTCAGTTTTTGGTACGTTTTAGTCAAATGTAAAACTAAAACAATCTACCTTTAGCTGTGAAGGAAATTTTTAGGATTAAAATTTTATGAGAAGATTACAAAAACAAAAAAGCATTGGAAAGGCATTAAAAATGGTTTATATAGGTACGTGGTTACTGCACCATCGAGTAGTTATGTTAACTATTTGTACAGTTTTGACTCGATAAGTTAAATTAAATGCATAATATACAAATATAACTTTAATTATCGAGAGGATGTAGAAAATGGCGATAAATGTATGTAATAGTTCATATTATTCGGGAAGTTATTCGATTATTAGATTAATCGGATAGCAAACGAAGTCTCAAATATTCGGAGAATTCTACTGCGTTTAAAGTTTTAGATCTTGCAAAGTTATCAAGCACTACTTCGAATAAATTTCTTAGTTCATATATCTTCATTGTATTACTTTGGTTCTATAGATTGTTGATTTATCATAATTAAAATAAAAAAGGGTTCTTCAATATTTAAATGCTCTATTAGATAAATATATGTTTTTTTTTCTTGTAACTACAATGGGATGATCTTCAAGTTTTTTTTTTATTAATTTTTGGAGTTTTGTGATATTTCTCATAACGTTTCGTATTTAATCATTTCCCAACATAATAAATATTATTCGGTTTTCATTGCATTCCAAAATTTCTTTCAGGTACTTCGATTGTATTCGACCTGTAATATCGCGCACTATTTCGCAGCAGTTCATCATTACAGGATTTGTACTCTGTCTCACTGGAATCAGTCTAACAACATTCGCGAGTGATGCTGCTCAGATACTTATCACGGTCATCTATCAAATTGCAATTTTAGTTGAGATATTTCCGTGCTGTTGGTTTGTTAATGTGCTCATGCATGAAAGCGATTATTTGACGACGGCCATGTACAGCTGCAATTGGTACACACAAAATCTGAAATTTCGCAAAACTCTAATTATTTTCATGCAACGTTCACAGAAGACAAATGTCGTTTTGGCTGGCAACTTGGCACCAATAACTTTGCAGACATTTTTAGCGGTAAAATTTAATCCGAAATTATTTAATTATTTTATTGACTATTTTTATTATTTCAGATTATTAGATTCTCGTTTTCTATGTTCACTCTTTTAAACAACATGAATGAATGAAATTTTATTTCAACTTAATTCAACTTCGTAGTAGCACGTATTTTAAATTTTACTAGCACGAGATATTTCTATAAGAATTAATAATTATTACACCACAACCACTAATTATCACCTACAGTTGCGTTAAACTTTCGTATTTTTAATTATTAGATACAATTTTGGGCGTAACGAAAACGACGTCAATAAAAGTTATTAACAAATATCTATAAAATTTTTTTTTGAGTTAATATTAAAAAATGACATTCTATTAGAAATTTTAAACGGAAGCGTTTGTTTATATGAGACATTTCCAAGAAACAAGAAAATTTACTCTTATTTCTATAATTCTCAACTATTTGTTGACAGAAATATAAATAATAGATATTTGTGTAAGTAAAATGGGAGATTCCTTTGACAGCCCGCTTAATAAGATGGTGCTCTGTTGAAACCATCATGAGAGTTCTTTATGATACTACAGGTTTAGCGGTAAGAATTAGTAAACCCGGCTTTTTGACTGAAGGAAAGATAATCCTATTTCAGTTGAGGAAATCAGTATTTTAGTATGACCTTTGAGAAGCTTAGCTCGCCGAATTTTGCTTACATTATTTTTTAATTTTAAATTGTTTGATATCTAATTATGCATTGGAAACGACTCAGTACCTTTAATATAATATTATTTAATTTTCATTATGTTGGAATATCCAGACATATTTCACATTGTGTGAGCAAAATTGGTCACACAATTAACTTATAGTATAAGAATTTAAGTGGCAATATGTTGTATGTTATATGTTGTACATTAAGACCGAAAAGTTTTCGGAAATTCTCATTTAAAATTCGCGCGCTGTATATTTTTCGATATTTTAAGTTTATGTAGTTTGGCAGCACTGTCCTTAATTACTATGCCAAAAATGAGCGCGATCTGTCAGACAGTTCGTTTACGGCAGCTGTTGAAACCAGTTCACCTCAGTAGGGCGTTGCGAAAAAAACAATGGAAAAAAATATTGAACAAAGAGTTTGCATCAAATTTTGTGTTTCGAACGAAATTTCGTGTGCAGAATCGTTGCGAATGCTACAAAAGGCTTATGGGGAATCAGTTTTATCGAAAACTCAAGTTTATGAGTGGTACAAAGCCTTCCAGGACGGTCGTACGACCGTCGAAGACATTTCGCAACGCACTACTGAGGTGAACTGGTTTCAACAGCTGCCGTAAACGAACTGTCTGACAGATCGAGCTCATTTTTGGCATAGTAATTAAGGACAGTGCTGCCAAACTACATAAACTTAAAATATCGAAAAATATACAGCGCGCGAATTTTAAATGAGAATTTCCGAAAACTTTTCAGTCTTAATGTATATATAACAGGTAATCAATAAAATAACCTTTATGTCAATATTAGCCATATCGAACAGACATCTTTGGTAGTTAGATCCTAAAGCAGTCATTTCCAACGGGTGGTCAGCCAGATGGTTGAAAATTGTCTGTGAATTAAATTTAACAGGTATGGATACATACCTTGCGGTTTTTCCGTTGAGACCTCACTTATTAGAAAATAAGGTCAAAAAACTACTACGTAATTATATGCTTATTTTACAGACTATAATGTACCTATACAATTCTTTATACATTATACGAGAGATGCATAAAGCATATTAAAAAATCATTCAGTTTATTATACTTAAACTTTGTGGTCCCCATTAAAAATAAAAATGTCAATAGTGGTCCTTGGTCAAAAAAAGGTTGAGAATTACTGGTCTGAGGCAAATAAATCGCTGTCGTGTCGGACGCGCGTCCTTCAGTAGCAGAGTAAATAAGTTGTGGTATACCTTCTGCTCAAAAAGTACTCGGATTTTGTAAATAAAACACACAAATTTAAATTTTATTCCAAATTTATTTTATCTCCTTCAAAATATGCTTTTTCTAAAGGGATACACATATGCCAACGCTTAACCCAATCTTCCATACACTTTTCAGCAACAGGAAAAAGTCGCACGGATCCAGATCTGGCGAATATGGTGCCAGAGCGATGACAGTGGTGCCGTGTTTGGTCAAAAAATTGCGTACAACAAGAATGTTTTATAGTAAAAATCGCTAAATGCACTTGAGGTAGTCTCACATTAACAGCTGCTGTAAACAAACTAATTGACAGATGGCGCTCAAATTTGTACCATATGTCAAGAAAATTTTTTTGAAAAAGGTGTATTACTTAAGGAGTAGTTAACAAACAACAAAATCCGGATACTTTTTGAGCAGAAGGTAAAAGGCCAGTATTATATTTTCGGAGATATAGTATCATTAATTAATATAATATAATATTAATTAATATACTTGGTAAGATCATCACTTCAAACAATAGTTGGTGAAATAAAAAATGAAAATATCAGAACGATGATGATGCTATCTAACGGAAGCTGAACCGCCATAGACTGATTCGTAATGTTCATACTCAAATGGAAAAAATATGATCTCGAAACTTTATAATATCAATGGAGACCTGGAAAGAAGAGACCTGGACGAGACCTGAACGTAGGCTAGGGAAGAAAATTGTTTATAAATAATCAACAAAGGGATCCTACCTTTAAGTTTTCCTGATAAAGTTACAGTGCAGAAATGATGTGGCAAAAATGGGGGATTGTATTTAGTCTGAGTAAAGTTCGCATACCACTATTGTGACGGTATAGTGACGATACATTTGACATTTCTAAACTCCTCTCCTCACAAAAAAAGAAATGGCAACAGCCTGCTCCCACACAATTATTTTTTGTATAGATACTTGAATCATCTATAATATAGTAATACTAGAATTTGAAGCCAATGAAAATTGAATAATTTACCACTACAATAATCATAACTTATGCACATCTAAACATGAAATTTCAAGGATTAGACGTTAGAGTTAAATATTTTATGAAGTGATAGTCTAACAAAATACTATAAGTGAAATGACTATATTTATTGGAACCTCACAATTCTGGAACTATTTTAGTAGTGAATAGATTAATGAGATTATGAGAGCACAATTGGCTTGTTTGGTGGAGTTTAGTGGTGATATAACCTATATTTCTAAACAGGTAGCGTATTAATGTCAGAAATTACTGCACATCTAGAAATAAAATTGAAATTATTGAAGCCTTTTTATAATATTAAATAAAGACTTGTGTTTGATAAAGATTTTTATTTGGGATGCTCGTTAGGCAAGTTGGATCGTAGAAGTCTATAAAAGAATGTTTTAATATAGATCTAGTAGATGTTAGGGAAAATGATGACAATATACATATATATATATTTAAGCATAAGTTTTCTAATTGAAAGTAAAGAACCAAGTTGTTAGTAAGTTAATTTAAATTTATAAGAGTATGTTAGTCTTCTCTATAAGAGTCTTAGTACCTTTTTTTTAACTGAACTTACTAGAGCATTTTTATTAAAGTTCATAATAATTATTTAGTTTTGAAACTTAAATTAACACCTACGACAGTGACTAAGAAAAAATTTATTCATATCGGCAACTTTTTTCTAAGCAATTAAAAAGTTTATGAAGTTTTGAAAACTTTTCAAACATTCATAAATTACTTGATAAACTTTATTTAGTTTTAGAATAGAAATGAAACTATATATAGTACAACACATGTTTTCCTAGTTTAATTGTGCATAAACCAACATTAAAAAATGTTGCTTCGTAGCCCAACAGATAGAAATCAAAAGTTAAATTCAAGCTACGCTTTGCACTACTTATGGATTAGTTGGCGGATAAGTGGTTTGTACCCACCTAAAAGGTTTCGTACTGCTTACAACATTTACGCAGTTATATCAAACTTGTTTGTAGTGTTGTTACCGATATCAATGGTAACAAATGTCTTCTTTATTAAGGGTCTGGAATTGTTAGTGACAAATCTTTCACTAACAGTAACAGTGGTAACTGCAACGATTAAGCATTCTATTTTATATCTCTATCAAGATCATTTACTACGAACAAATATTTATTTGGAACGACTTGATAAACGGTCCAATCGTCATCCTAGAGACCGTTACCATATACTCCATGGAATACGAACGTGCCACATCTTTTTTGTGGTTTATAATATTTTATTCACTTTGACCGCTTATGGATTTGCCATTCTTGGTATAAGAAATCATCAACTCCTATTCAATGGCTGGTATCCACACTTTTATGAAGATGAGGAGAAGAACTACCGCGCGGCATTTATATTTCAATTTGTGGCCATCACACATTATGTATTCCAAAATACGAACAATGACATGTATCCACAATGTTATGTGGCTTTAATAATTGGACATGTACGTGCATTGGCTGAAAGAATAAAGAGAATCGGCGTCAACCCTAAGGCCAGTGGTGATGATAATCTGGAGGAATTATTGGCATGCATTCAAGATCATAAAGATATATTAAGGTGAGGGTTTATTTATTATAATATTGTTAGAAATATGATATATACATATATCCTGTTATGAAAATACAATTATCTTCTCACATATAAAAATTAATCGGATAAGAAAATTTATAACCTTTTCAAAATATTTAGGTATTTTCAAAATATTCTTCTAAAATAAAACAAACAAAAAGTTTCTTAAAATATTATTGTGTTAAAGACAATATACATATATTTGAGTACAAAGTTTAACGATTTAATCCTTAAAATAGCATTACGAAGTAATATTAGCGTCATACCCTTCATCTTAGATATCCGTGATATAGTTCGGTAAGTTTATTAGCAAATTTAAATACTTCACATACAAAACTCCTAAACCTGAAATAGTTTTGAAATTTATTGCAAATCTCACTATAAAAGTATTTAACTGGTATTAAAAATATAGAAACTCACTTTTGTCGTGTTTCATCTAGAAACTCCAAACTCTAAAAATTTTGGATTATTGTTGGGAAAAGTTTGGTACATGCCAACGCCAACGCGATGAGGCGAAGCAAGCATTGTTTGGGGTAGAGAATGGACAAGTTTGTTGGAAAGCTATTTAGCATATTATCAACATTTAAATCAGGTACCACATAAAAATTTAACGGTGAAGTTAAGAAGATTCTGTTCCTTTTAGTCAAATGTAAAATTAAAACAAACTATTGTTTAACTGCGAGGCAAACTTTCGGGAATAGAAATTCGTGACGATGTTTCATAAACAGAACGTTACTAGATTCTAATTAAGTATACTCTTATGAGGTTTTCTACTCATTCATGCAGGATTTTATCTAACTGTAATATTATTTTGTAAACTACAGTGTTAACTCGCAAAACAAATAAAACGCGTATGTGTACGCGATATGCAATATATTATTTCAAAACTAATAGATTGGGTAAATAGTATAGAGCATTTTTTTGTAAAAGAGAATTGTTTTTACAAAAATTATTTTAGGATTAAAATGCTGCCGAGTCATTGAGACAGTCGCATCCCAGCATCAGTATTTCATCAGTTTTGCAAAATGACATAAATTCTATAATTGTCTTCTTAAATTCTTTTTATTCCAATAATAAACTGTTGTAAATATAGGAACAATTACTAGTTAGGGTATGTTATATATTAGAATTTTTGAATTAAAGTATCTTCAGATATGTGCCTAATCAATTTTGTCATAATGAAAGACGACAACTTTTCTCTTAATCACTTTAGGCATTTTTACAAATTTTTCTTTTAATTACAATTAATGATGACAGCGTAAATGGACTCAATTGTTTTGTCAGGCAATAGAACTTAGTTTATAATAAAGGATATATTCACTTCTTTAATCGTAAATTTTGGGTTTGTGAATTTTTTGCTTTTCATCTTTTGCCAGCCACAGCCGATATAATTATTATTCTGTATCAAATTTCATTTAAATATACTTTGTCACAAACGGAGATAACTTATATCCGATTGTTTGGCGCTTATATGGCAATTATAGGATATATAGTAGTCTCATTCAGTCAATCCTACAAATGATCAGAGTTTGCTCTCGAAAAGTATATGTGCAAAATTTTATTTGAATAGCTCAAAAACTGAGAGAGTGGACCGGGATAAAAGAGACAGACGCTGAGGTCATTAAAAATATTTATGGGATCTACAATATCTCCTCTAATGGATTAGAAAAATCTTGACAAACTTGATATTCTCTTTTCAAACTTTTTTGTGTAAAGGACATAATTAAAGAAGTGAAAAAGTTGATCCATTTTTGAAGGAGAACATCTATGATATAATAAATTCCGTTTTAAACATTAATTGATTTATGCCTAAAATGAATAAGATTGTAATTTGCATTCCAACTCATACCTTAAAGATAATACATAAAATTATGTATAATGCTCATACATAAATAAGTCCTCTAGCTTGCATTGCCTTTAATTAGATTGCTAAATATATACTTTAAGAACTCCAAATGTCACCATATCTAAAATATTAAGAATTCCCTGATATGTCGGAAACCCTGATATACATAGAGATACTTCTTTTGAAGCCATCAGCAATTATATTAAGGTGAATAAGCGATTCAGGTAAATAGATAGTCGTCTCAACATTTCTTTAGCTGAACTTTGAAGAATTCAAGCAAATTGGGCCGTCTTGTTGAAATTCGGAATGCCATCGTCTCAAATAAAATAAAGTAGTTTTTTAACAAAGGTTGTGTAGATTACCAGTTTGTTTTAGTGTAGAATAAATAAAGCGCACCTAGAGAAAGGGGTAATGGTTCCAGCTGTTAGCAAGACCATTAATCCACCATTCATAAAACTATGATTATAGATTTTTGAATAATAGAAAATGGTTGTAAGTAGTATTTACATTACACATACGACTATAATTACCCCGCACTTTGCGGGGTATAGGAGTATTATCCACCTCGCAGACAGATGTCGCTCATAATTTTTTTTTATGATATATAAATTTTGAATACTTTGTCTATCAAATTTTGCTACATAAAGAAATTTTTTATGTCAATTCTTTTGGGAGAATATTTTATTTGAAATATATATAAATTTGTCTTCAAATTATTTATACAAAATACAATCTAGAGTATAGTTTTGAAGATGAGCTGTATGAAAGCGCTATATTGAACTATAGATTGCGTTATATGCAGATTCGGCTGGTGATACGGCTAAAGTTTTAAGTAAGGGCTAAATTTGGCAAACATTTGTTAAGTAATTATTTATTTCTAATTATTTGGGGAAGATGATATATCGCGATTCAGGTATTCTATTAGGCTAGCCCTAATCGTTTTAACCGACCATTAACCATTTAATGAATCTATTAAATAAAAAAGTAAAATTTAGCATTTGGGTCGTTTCTGTTTATTTTATTGTTTTATTTATACATATATTGTTAATTAAAATTGTTTGTATTTACAGATCAAAAATTTAATTTCGCAAAAGCAGTTATCATTTCCTAACTTAGTTTTATAGAGTGGGATTCAATATATTTTTTTTGTATTTGCATTTGATCACAATTCACGATAATTCCATTATTTTTAAATTCTCATTTAAATTTTCAATTTTTTTTATTTAGTACTTATCCGAAATTCAGATTTCCTTCCTCTCTTGTATATTTTCAGTTATTTGGACTGCATTCGTCCTGTAATATCCCGGACACTTTTGCAACAATTCATAGTTACAGGCTTTGTACTGTGTCTAACCGGCATTAGCTTAACAGTGTTCGCACGTGATGCTGCACAGATACTTTTCACAGGCACCTATCTGATTGCAGTATTAGTTGAAACCTTTCCGTGTTGCTGGTTTGTGAATCTGCTGGTCCAGGAAAGCGATTATTTGACGACAGCCATGTACAGCTGCAATTGGTACACACAAAATCAGAAATTTCGCAAAACTCTAATTATTTTCATGCAACGTTCACAGAAGTCAAATGTGATTATGGCTGGTAATTTGGCACCAATAACTTTGCAGACATTTTTGGCGGTAAAAATAATTAAGGAATCTGATATTAATTATATTAATTAACTTTTATTTTACAGGTTATAAGATTTTCGTTTTCTATGTTCACTATTTTAAGCAAAGCAAACATTTGAAAATTCTTTGAACATAAAATTCTTATACAAAATTAATATTTCCTCCACCAGTACACGATGATGAGTCCAAAATAATTATTACAATACCTTTTTCACGACATGTAATTATCACCGGAAACTAACTTATAATCACACATTTATAATTACTAGGAACAACTTTAAGTTTATTGAAAACGAATTCAATAAAATATATTTACAAACACTTGTAATGTTGTTATAATATGTATACACTGAGAAAAATATAATAAAATTGTTGAGAATTCATTCTAAAATAGGTGTTACTATTTTACTTATAACATACTTATGTATGTTATAACTCGGTAATGTTAGGATTAGATTTCCTTCGTAAAACGTTAGCTGTACATACTTGGATTCGAATCATTATTTTTACATCCTGAAAACTGAGAAAGAAACGCAAAATGTAAAAGAGAGAATGAGAGAGAGAGAGAGAGAGAGAGATGCGGAAGAAATTGGGAAAGGAAATTATGGCGAGAGGGCGCGAGAAAGAGAAATGGATGGAACAACAAGAAAAAGATAGACAGGCTGTGAAAGTAAGAAAGCGAGTGAGGAGGGGAGTGAGGAGAAAGAGGGATGAAATATTATGTGAGCCAATATTGAAATACAGAGGGAACTAATTCAAAAAGTATTCTATATAGTATAGTATTTAAAGCAGGTGTACCTAGAATACCATGATATATTTTTCATCACGACGAAATAAACGGAAATACGATTGTGGTATGCGTCACAACATGTATCCTATTGTTCCTATCCACAGAATATGTAGAAAGTACAATATCATTATGAGCAAACTTTTAGTTAAAAACAAAAAAATTAAAAAATTATAAAAAATAATTGGGTAGTGAGTTTTCATCAGCTTAAAAGTGTTTTTATGCTGTTTATTTATCATATCCATGTTATAAACTGATTATCTGGTTACGTGTTTAAACAACATGGTTAGGTCAAATTCGAATAGTTTAGAAATCTTTGAAGCCTGTCGATAATAACCCCCACAAATTCCTTCAGATTAAATGCTTAACTAACGAAGCTACTTCTGTCACCAAAAAGTAGATCATATACACAGAAAATGGAAATATCAAATACTTAATAGAATTCTCTTTTTCGCATGTTTTCCAATAGACTAAACAATTGTTTCTAGCGGACTAGAAAGTTCCCTTTAATATCTTTTATCAGCGAGATTGTTTGATTCAAATTATAATAGTGTCTTACTAGCCTTATATTGTGAAAGGTAGTTCCAAAAACGTCTATTTGAAGATATTTGGACTCACTAGCTCGTTTAACTATGTTTGGTGTTACGAGCCAACTTTTGTAAGAGTTTCATTGGCTATATTGCTTCCTATGTTCCTATGCTCTGAAAATCTGGAAATTAGATCAGAGAAACATTGTGCAGCTCGCTTAAAGAGGTTACGCTCATTTTACGTTGTTTCACTCAATAGATGATTCAAAGCTAGGATTGCAGCTTGGCTGTGCAATATTATTATAATGTTATTTGTTAATTCCGATTTGCAATTGTTTTATAGAATTTTTTGATAAGTTTCCAAAATGTCTTTATAGCCATGAAAACATTTTGTCATTAGGGTTCTTCCTTACAAGTGAAATCATTTTGTAACTGTGGGTTCTTAGGTAACTGTGACCATTTCAAATAGAAATCATTTCGTTCCGAGATAAATAAAACAAGAGCTTGAAATATCTGTGGTTAGTCAATTTGAGATATTAGATGTTTTATTTTAAAATGCATTCTACATGTTTAACAAAGAGTATTTTTTCCATTAATAAACTTTTCATATTTTATTCGATCAGATTTTTTTTTTAATATTTATACGATTCGGTACAATTATACCCCAACTTCAAATATCGTCAATATTAAAACTAATATATTTCACATATAATTAAAGCTTTTTATGAATGCCCTGGTACTTGTCTACTAGACCCATGATACACCGTACACAGAGTCAGATCGCACTAAGGTCTGATATAAAAAACACTTGATAAAGAATGTTAGAAAAATGGTTGGTGGTTTTGTTTTAGAAAAACAGTTTCAAGAACTTATTAGATTTGCAAAAATATCTACAATGAAATTTATGCAGAGATTTTGCTATATTTCGTGCTGCTAGGGACCAATAAACGTCTATGTGTGGCTCACAGCAAGCCAGATCAACCTAATCTAATCTGAATTCAGTGGTAGCATCTGAATAAAGTGAAAATTTTCGGAAAAGCGAAACTCTTGTTGTCAATATGTTTTGAACTCTTGATGCATAATATAGTAAAGATCATTCTGTCTAAATAAATTGGACCATTACTAAATGACTTTAGTTTTCTTTAACTTCATGAAGACCCTAATTCATAGTAGACTAAACAACCTTATTTTAAAGGTTTAAATTTGTAATGCGTACGGTACAAACAAAAAAGGATTAAAATTACTTAATTATTTTAAATTATATTACTCTTCGTTAATTTTAATTTCAAGTGGCATGAATAGGTGACATGAAATAATATTTTTTAATACCACTCTGACGCAATATTAAAACCATACACGTTGTGTGTAATTAGTAATTTGGTAGTGGGTTTCTTTCGCTACTACCTACGTCTATATGTGCGACAAACTCGGAAGTGCATCAGTTTAGGTATTTCATTATTATAACTCTTACGCAGCAGACGTATAACAATTCTTTAGAGCAGCATTGAAGAACAAAAATGAAACTTTTGGAAGTTACTGACAATGGACAAAAATTGGACTCAGCTTTGGCCTTTCACTATTGGTGGCTTAATTTACGTATACTGGGCATGCATCCAACGAAAAATTATCGCTTTTTGTATTATCTTTATGCTGTGATAATGAATGTTACATGCACATTTCTTCTACCAGTTACTCTATGGTTAAATCTGTTGTACATCGATAATTTTGAGGCACTTCTTAGCAATTTATCGATGAGTGTTACCATTACAACGGTTGCTTGCAAACAAATGACGGTCTTGTACTTTCGAAATTTACTGCTTAAAGTAAACACCTTTCTGGAACAACTGGACAAACATGCGAATTTGAATCAAGAGGATCGACATGAGATATTGAAAGCCGTACGTATATGCCATTTATTTCATGGATTCTATGTGGTGTTCTTTTTTTTGGGATCAACGGGTCTCTGTGTGATTGGTTTCACCTTGCATCAATTAGTTTTTAATGGCTGGTTTCCGCGAGTAGTCGATGATGCAGAAGTGAATTATTATTTAGCGTTTGCATATCAAAGTTTTGCACAATATTTTCTTACTGTAATAAACGCATGCACTGATATGTACCCACAGAGCTATATGGTCCTATTGATCGGGCACGTACGAACATTAAATGCGCGCATAGAACGTATTGGTAAGAATAAAAATACACGCGAGGAGGACAATTTAAAGGAATTGGTACAGTGTGTTAAAGATCATAAACTTATTTTGGAGTAAGGAAACTGATGTCATAATTTATATGTGATTCGTATTGTACAAATTTCTTTATAATAGGTACTTTGATTGCATTAATCCAGTAATATCAACTTCTATGTGTGTTCAATTCCTTATAACAGCTCTCGTACTCTGTTCCAGTACAATTTATTTAATTTCGTACAGTCGAAGTATAGCAGAATTGATCGTTTTTCCTGCACATCTCTTTGCTCTGCTAATTGAAATATTTCCATGTTGTTGGTATATGGATGAATTGCAGAAGGAAACCAGTAATCTGACAACTGCAGTTTACAGCTGCAAGTGGTATGAACAGAATCAGAAGTTTAAGAAAGCTATAATAGTGTTTATGCAGAATACACAGAAGCCGAAAGTTATAATGGCTGGAGGTTTGGCTCCTGTTACTTTACAAAGTTTCGTGGCGGTAAGAATATATTGATGAATTCATTTTTAATTAATTATATGATGAAACTTTACTTTTTAATAGATTATCAAATTCGCCTTTTCTTTGTATACTCTACTGAGTAATCTCAACACTTCAAAATAAATGAATTGAAGTAATGCAAATTCAAAAATTTAATTTAGTATTTTTATTGAAAGGGTTAGATAGGAATGTTTTCAGAAAGTTCGTATATCCTTTAAAATTAATTTTAAAATATAAGATGTGTTGAATCAATTTAGAAACTGAATACTTACAGGGTTTTTACGCGAATGTGAAATCTCTAGATATATTTAAGCCTATTATTTAATATTAAAATTATTAATAGTGGTTATATAAAGTGAAGGAAATGTTTTTCTGAAACCGGGATTGCAGTGAAGGAGAATAGATTAAGAGAGTTTATAATGCCCAGAAAACAATTTGCTAAAGTGCTTCAAAGGATTTTCGAAACGAGTATATTCTATATATAGCATAAATCTATAATTTGAATACAATATTAAATTGAAACGTGGGTGATGTAAGGAACTTATTCTAGTTATGCTCACAACGCCACTACCTGTAAGTAATTTTTCCCAAATATGTGTATATGGTAGATACTTTGCGTATTATAATATAAATGTTCTATTATTTTGCGAACTTAACGAAACGGCATAAAATTTTTCAGGCCCATTTGACAGTCTTAACTTAATAAATTCTTAAAACTGACTAAATTAATGCTAATTTGATGATTTAATTTCGTAGACTGAAATAATACTTAAGCCAGTTTCTAGACTCAAGTATCAACTATGAAATCAGTCCTTAGTATTAATTTGAATTAAGTGAAAGATGACGACAATTATTCATGTGATTGCAATATCAGTGATGGGTTTCATATATATATATAGTACCTATTGCAACAGAAACTTTTAATTTAATTTTACCTAGAATAATTCAAGTTAAATAAAACTTAAAGAAATAATTTCAAATACGTGCGAAGTTAAACTCGGTAATTTAGAATAATAAATTTGTCATTTCCTAGCATTTTCTAATCCACCTAATGTCCGGGTATAAAATTTTAAATTGCTAGATGCAAAACAATGACATGCCGAAAGCGACCATTAATCATTAATTTATAGTAAAATAGACCACCTTAGACGCAGTAAATACATAGTATTCTCCATATAACAAATGGACTTGAATTCATATAATACATTAACTTTTATAAATTGAAGGTTAAGGCTTCTGAGATATATCAGTGGAGGATTTATTTTATTATTTTTTGTATAGTATGTAACCTATAGGCATTATTGTACCTTTGGTAAAATTTAGTGCAGTAATGTGTAGTATAATAAAAAGAATATGCTTTCAATACAAACTAGCGAAATCTAAAAGTTGCGAGTCCAAAGATAATCCCTACAAAACGTAAGTTTATTAATTTAAAAGATATTGCGTACTACTAATTTCATAGGTTAAATAAAATAACCGGTATTGCTTACAATGTATTGGGGTCTTACTAAAAACTTGTTATTAGAGGTGCTGTTATTAGATGAATTAAGACTTTATTTTTATATACGAATTTATTAATGAGAAGTATATATATTAATAATACATATTAATAAGAGGTTAGTTTAGTGCATGTTCTGCATTTAATGTTATCCCTTGACTTAGAATACATGGACGGGCTAATCTATAAGAAAATCAACAACGGGTAAATATAGGGAACATTACACTAAATACTTTCAAATGTTAAAGAAAGAATTTCAAATTGGGTTCATTTTTCTTAACCTAATGCTATTCCCGATTATAATTATCTTTGACAGCAGAAAAGTTATTATTACATTCATGACCAGATTCAGCATTGTTATGTATTATATATTGTACACGAAACATTCGTGAACGATTCATAAAACAAGTCTATCGGACTTTTTTGGGAGCATTCCTTTGAAACCTTAAACTTTACAATACAAAGTTTAAAGATGAGTATTATGGCTTTCCATTTACAACTGTTTTCAGTGCATCATTTTTTTAATTTTTATAATAGATAAAGGATATTATCAACTTGCTAATGTGTTTCATAAATATAATAATTTTTAAAATACGCTACTGACTTTTATTTAGCGGATAAAGAAACTACCATATGACGCTAAAAATAACAGGTATGGAGGAATAATTTACTGGAAAGGACTTTGAAAAGTAACAGTATTGGATTTAAGGTGTTTGTTTCAGTAATATGTGGACTACAAGTTAGGTAATAGTTTTAACTGCTATAAAAATGTTTTAAATCAATATAGATACTTATATCACATAAGATAATTCGAGAGGTGCATTAATATACCTTATACCAATATATTCGGTAGATTAATAGAGCATTTAATAATTTATTCGAAACTATAAGATATTAGACTGCACAGGAAAAAAATTTAACTTTAGGTTAGAAACTTACTGATCTCGTCGTATCTGGAATTTAATTAAACGCATTCATTGCATTATTTACGGTAAAATATATCATAAACATATGCATTACATATACATTATACATAGAAATAACTTTATATAGAATAACATTCTACAACCCATATAAAAATAAAATTAAAAATGCAGCTCATTAAAGCATCTGATAATGGAAAGCCACTAGAATCATCATTTGCATTTCGTTATTGGTGGAAAACTCAACGCATCTTAGGATTGCTCCCAAACAAATCCGATCATTACTGGTACTACTTATATGGGATTTTCATGAATATCTTCTGTACACTTTGCCTACCAATAACATTGCTGATAAATTTATTTTTTGTTAATGGTTTGGAAGAACTGATAACCAATATATCAATGACTGTTTTACTTTCAATGATCATCTTTAAACAACTTGCTATTCTATATAACCGAAATGCTCTTTTTAAGGCCAACAAATACCTAAAGGAATTGGATAAACGGGCAAATCCACATAAACAGGATCGACAACATATCCTTAAAGGAATGCGTTTAAGTCAATTATATCATTGTTTCTATTTAGTGTACTATTTTTTGGGTTCGACGGGTCTCTGCATAACCGGTTTAAATTTGCACCAACTTATTTTTAGTGGTTGGTTTCCCCAACTTTTTCAAGACCCAAAGTACAACTTTTATTTGACATTCGCCTATCAAGGTTTCTCTCAGTATTACTTAACAATAATCAATGGTTGCAGTGACTGTTATCTGCAGTGTTACTTAGTAGTTCTGATAGGACACATACGTGCATTATCAAATCGTATAGAGCGTATTGGATTAAATAAAAGTATGAATCAAAATGACAATTTGAAGGAGTTAGTGGAATGTATCACAGACCATAAACACCTATTAGCGTAAGTTCGTAAGCCTATGAGTACGTATTCATTATTAAAATATTTTTTATTTGATTAATAGTTACTTCGATTGTATTACCTCAGCTATTTCACAAACTATGTTAGTACAATTCTTTGTTGCTATTGTTGTGCTTTGCTTGAATTCGTTCAAGCTATTATATTTCAGCCGAAGTATAGCTCAATTCATAGTGGAACCTGCTCAACTCATTGCCTTGGTTATTGAAATATTTCCCTGTTGCTATTACATGGATCAATTGCAGGAGGAAGATTACAATCTGACATTGTCCATATACAGTTGTAAATGGTATGAGCAGAGTTTGAAGTTCAAGAAAGTTCTAATAATATTCATGCAACACTCACAGAGACTAAAAACTGTTAAAGCTGGACATATAACACCAGTAAACTTAGAGAATTTTGTCGCGGTAAAGTATTTCATTAAAAATTTTATCTAAATTTATATAGGTGTTATCTTCTATTTACAGATCATAAAGTTCACTTTTTCTCTATATACCCTTTTGGCAAACATGACATAAAAACGTTATAAAATGTATATATCGTTTATCATATAAGCAATCTTTACAATCAGTTTATTATATATCGATTTATATAAAATCAATTTAATTCAGTTTTGTTATTTCATTTGTGAAAATCACAGCTTAAGATACTCTGATCTACTGCAGAAATATGCGACGCATGTCACCAAAACCTGAAGCAATACATATATTTGTGGAAGACGTAACGCATGGATTCCATATCAAATACAATAAAATAAAATAATATATAATTTATAATTAATATAAGTGAAATTAATTATTATAAATTAATTAATTAATTATTGTTTCAAATGTTATTAATATATTGAGGTAGAGTATAAATACAAAGAATTTTCATATAAAATTTACTACTTGTATTATAAAATAAATAACCTAAATAAAAAATTGTTTTTTAATACGAGTAGCAACGTTATTGCTTAAAGATTTTAAAAATTTTAGATATATCAACATTTTCCATACAAATATCACAGATTTTTCCTGAAAGATCTAATAAATTATCGATATGATTACTATATCAAGGGCATAAAAGAAATCATGTGCGAAGAGATGGTGTTCTCTTTTTAATATCTATTTGAATATCAGATCTACTCTATAATTTTAAAATATTGATTAAGTATTGAATACGTACTAAATTGTGGGACTAATAATATTTCAATATTTACTTCCGGTAGAATTTTTAATAATTTTTTTAGGCAACCTCAAATATTTTAAAAAATTTGTGAATATAGTGAATTCGCATATATAAATACCCAATTATTTTTAGTAAAATCATTTATTTTTTTTGTGTAAAAGTTTCTTATAATCGTCCTCTAAACCGAGGACAATGTCCATAAAAAACATAAACTGTTAATGTGGAGCCTTAAAAATATTTTCGGATTTTGGTTGTCATCTTTTAAAATTGTCCAAATGGTCAAAAAATACCGTAATAAGAAATTATAAAAAGTCGGATAATATTCAGAGATCGTTTATCAGCTGAAAGGTTTGAAAAAGAGGCAAGTATTACTGATTTCATTTTTTAATCATGAAATCAGGGACAAAAATTTTCGTGAAGTTGGAGTTCAAATTTCGATATTGCAGAAATTGATCACCCTCAAATAATCTATTGTATATATATATTAAAATATATCAATACTGGTTTTGGAATAAAAGACAATTTTCGCCGTCTTTCTGGTCTTCTCATTAGTAAACGATGGTGAGACATTTTCATCGATGACGTCAAGTGTTAAAATTTTTTTAATTTTTGGCATACTTATAATGGCACTGAAAAAAATTTTATTTACTTCTACTTGATATCGAAGAAAATAACGAACTGAACATGAGTACCATTTACTATATAAATATACCTAAATATATTATTGCCCTTCCATTTACATTTATCAAGAAGATTTCAATTAAATGGATAGGTAGCTGAAGTGGAAGATGGAACCCTCATCAACTAATTATGGAATGTGTTTTCGTTCCACATTCATAGTAATTATAGTTAAATGGTTGTGTTTTGACCAATTCTAACATTCGAAATATTACCAAGCAAAGTAAAGAATAGACGACCAAAATGTTACGTATGGATTTGAATAAGTCTGGACACAGACGAAATAGGTCTTCTCGTATTAGCTTTACGATCGCCGATAAATACGATCTACAAGAATTTCTTTTAATAATACTTCACATAATTATAACATATAGTATTTTGCTCATATATAATTATACGGGATATATTGTAGTAGAACGATAAAAAATTGCGTTAACACTTGAACAACTCCTAATGACCAATGCGCATTATCGAAATTTGGGATTGAATTCAAACTTTTAATTATAGTGTCGGGATCTCAGGAGATATAAATTATGCTATGAAAATTATTTAAATCAATTATCTCTCAAATAATTGTCAATCCGTACAATTTAGAAATATTTTACTGATATCATTTTTATAGTTATAATAAATCTCTACATTAAATTAGATTAACTAAGAAAGCCACTAGAGTTGCTGAGAAAAATGACATATGGGTTATATGAGAGTTAGTAAATCCTACTCATTGAAAAAAAAAACTATAAATTTGCTTTATGCCTACGAAATAACTACTTCAACATTAATTATGCGCTCTAATTACACGTTATTATCAATTATCAATAAAAAGCAATTTCGTAGAGAAGAGAAACCTAAAGCTTATAAAAAAAATCTATATTAGTGATTTAATGACCGCTTATTAGAGTACTTTATCGTATAATTAGGGATTAATTAAGTTAATTAAAGTTCCTATGTGAATAACCATTATGAGAAATACAATATCGACGTAAAAGAGTATTCATATAAACTCTCGGATGTCTTATAATAAACATATATTATAAAATGTCGCAGAAATTTGGAAAGAGTGCTTTGTATGACTGAGATGGATTAACATCGTATACAATCATTTTTACTAAATTAGAAAAAGAATAATAGAGTAGTGAAGAAACCGAATACTTTCAGAATATTAACAAATTATACTATAAACTTCTTTTTACTTTAACTTAAAAATTGTATTGATCTTGGCGTATCTGGTATTTTATTAATATCCTTCTTGGCTATTAATCTCATTGGATCATTTTAGGTAAACCGTAATAATAACTTAATATTATTTTATAACTTATAAATTTTGTGTTTTGTACAGAATAATATTCCTATTTCCAAATAAACACAATGGTGTTTGATAAAATAGTAGATAATGGGCAGCCACTGGATTCATCATTAGCGTTTCATAACTGGTGGAAAAATCAACGCTTCTTAGGCATGCTCCCAAAGAAGTCCGACCATTACTGGTACCACTTTTATGGGATTTTCATGCATATTTTTTGCACAATTTGCTTACCAATAACTTTAATTACAAATCTATTTTTTGTTGATGGTTTGGAAGAACTGGTGACTAATTTACAATATACTGTACAGATTTCAATGATTGGATTTAAGCAGCTTGCTTTTCTCTATAACCGAAATGCTCTTCTTTACGTAAATACCTACCTAAAACGATTGGACAAACGTGTAGAAACACACAAACAGGATCGTCTACATATTCTTAGAGCAGTACGGATTAGTCGTTTATATCACTGGTTCTATGTAGTTTATTTTGTTATGGGTTCAACAGGTCTTTGTGTAATTGGTATTAACTCAAATGAATTGGTTTTTAGTGGATGGATTCCGCAAGTCTTTAAAGAGCCAAAACACAATTTTTATTTGACATTCGCCTATCAAAGTTTCTCTCAGTATTTCATGACTGTTATTAATGGCTTATGTGACAGTTATCTGCAGTGTTACTTAGTAGTTCTGATTGGACACATACGAGCATTATCAAATCGTATAGAGCGTATTGGTTTGAATAAAAGTATGAGCCAGAGTGATAACATGAAGGAGTTAGTAGGATGTATTAAGGATCATAAACAGATGATGGCGTAAGTAGTCGTAATTTTTTGTGTATAAGTTTGGGTATGTATTAACTTATATTACTTTTATTGCCACTAATAGGTACCTCGATTATATTACCCCTGCTATTTCACAAACTATGTTAGTACAATTCTTTGTCGCTGTTGTTGTGCTTTGCTTGAGTGCACTGAAATTGTTATATTATAGTCGAAGCATAATGGAATTCATAGTGGAACCTGCCCATCTTCTGGTTTTGGTCATTGAAATATATCCTTGTTGTTATTACATGGACCAGCTGCAGGAAGAAAACTACAATCTGAGATTGTCTATTTACAGTTGTAAATGGTATGAGCAGGATCAGGACTTTCAGAAAGTTCAAATAATATTCATGCAAAATCTACAGAGGCCAAAAACTGTTAAAGCAGGAAACTTAGCGCCAGTAAACTTAGAGAATTTTGTGGCGGTAAGTAATTTTATTTAGAAGTTTCATTAAAATTGCTGTTGATAAATAATATTTATAATATTTGATATTTTTAGGTTATAAAGTTCACTTTTTCGCTCTATACCTTGTTAACAAATATGACGTGAAATGTTTTAGCGGATATAATAATCGATTATTATATATTGAGTTCATTTATCGATCTTCACACTCGTCGTTTTTATTTGGGCGCTGGGAGGATGCTTGAAGTACCTGTTGGTAGTTTGCACAAAGATAATTATTTTAGCTGTATAATATATATAAGAAAGATTTAATTCTGTTGTGATTTTAATGTATTGAAATAAATTTCTCTTTTTTTATCAGTTTTTTACTATATGAAATCCCACATTTTTGTTTTAAGCAATTAAATTTAAACATGTGAGATAATTTAAGGTGATCTAATAGACTTTTAATTTATTAGAATGCTATATAATACTGTGATTAAAAAGGAGTATGGAATTGGTTATGACTTTTAAATTTTCTATTTTTTTTTCCAATAAATTATTTAGGTTAAAAAAATTCACTGCCAATTGAATATAATTGTTATAACCGATTTTCTTAATGCTCTTTTAAGCGCGAAACTATTCAGTTTTTATCTTCTCAATAGTTTTAAAATGGTGCCGAAGTGAAATCTTTAGATTGGGAAACAGTCAGTAGTCACATAGTGTTAAACCTGGCAAATACGATGGTAGTGGTATGATATGCGGTGTAAGATGGTGCGACGAATATCTAATTCTACATAAGAAAAAGATTTACTAAGAAAGATATTGGAGTTGGTGAGATGAACAACATGTGTTCATGAGATTTCTTAAATTCTGCTTAACGGAAAATCTACTAAATAAATTCACTCTAACGCAATAACTATTTCAGCATTAATTATACCCTCATATAACACATTATAATCAATAACCAATAATAAACACTTCACGATGAAGGTGAAGAAAAACAATAGGCTTGCAAAGAAAATTATATGTCAGTCATTTAATGACCATTTATTACCACACCTTGTTGTATATATAAGTTACCATTATGTGAAATACTTGTATAGTATCGGCTCAGAAGAGTATTCATATAAAACCCTAAAAACGCAGATTGCATACAAACAATCGAGAAACGTCCTATGATGAATACAAATGATGAAATGTCGCAGGTACTCAATTCAAATGACGCGAGTCGTTATTTGTGGCAAAGTTGGCGTTTACTAGGACTACATCCAACCAAAAAATATCGGAAAGTTTACTGGTGCTATGCAGTGTTCATTTTCCTAGCTGCTGTTTGGCATCCATTTCATCTATTGTTGCAGGTATTCTACATAGATGACTACGTACGTGTTATAAACAATCTTTCGATCAGCTTAACGTTACTTTCCGCTACTGTGAAGTACGTGATCATGTTTTATTTCACAACTTCAAATTTATATGAAGCAGGCAAATATTTTGATAAATTGGATGGATTCGCAAAAGACAATACATCGGAGAGGGATATGATTAATACTGAAATACGATTGTGTCATAGATTGTACTATGGTTATATAGTAGCATATACAATGCCTTTGGTTGGGTTTGCTATCTTAGGTTACTATCAGCGTTCATTACTTTTTGAAGGTTGGTTCCCATTCGATTGGACTGCTAGCGATGCAACATATTACGTTGCATACGGTTTGCAGGTTTTTGGTACAAGTATAACGCTAATGCAGAATCTAACAACCGATACTTCCCAGCTATTATACTTACTTATTGCGCTGGTACATTTACGTGTGATAAAAAGGAGATTGTCGAATATGGGAAATATTATGTCCAAAAATAGTACAGAGCAGTACGAGGAGTTAGTAATGTGTGTACATGTATTCCAGGAGTGGATGAGGTGAGTTGCATTTAAGTAAAAATGATTAATGTTCAAGATATTGTATGAATAAATTTATTATTTGAAGGCTCTTTCTAAGCATTCGTCCTGTTGTGTCTACTATAATGTGTGTTCAATTTATGGTAACTGCATTTGTTGCCTGTTTCTCAGCAATTGCAATTACGGAACCGAATCGAACTGTCTTACAAGTGGCGGCATCAGGAACATATCTTATGATTTTTATGTTTGAGATATTTCCATGTTGTTGGTGTGTGAATGAACTAATTGCTGAAACGGGAAGATTAACTAATGCGGTATATAACTGTAATTGGTATGAACAGGACATGAAATTTCGTCGAGCTTTAATGATTTTCATGCTGCGGACACATAAACAGATACAAATTTTGGCAGGAAATTTAGTGCCAGTTTCATTGCAATCATTTATTGCGGTAAACTAAAATTCTCATTTTATGTATCTTCAAATATTTTTTATTTATTTAAATATGTTACTAATTAATTTTATTTTTTTTTTGATTTCAGATTGTTAAGTTTTCGTTCTCAATGTTTACTTTACTTAATGAAATGCGTCAATAAATGCTCACCTTAATATAAATTATATTATTAATATATTAAAAAACTGTTGTTAATATTATACGGTATTTATAGATATAAAATACAACTGTTATTGAGATTTATATCGAGAGTTTATTTCCATATATACTTCAGATCTAACCATTAGGTGTAAAAGACAAAATAATTTAAATATTTTTTAGTGAACATCTTTGTGTACTGCATTTATTTCAGCTGATTTTCGGTGAGCGGTCTTCACGCAGCTGACAATAGCTCTGCCTAAACTTAGCGGATGTTCATTTTCAAACCATCGAGGGTTTAAGGATTTTCCGCACATACACGATCCTTTTCGCAATTCGTATATTCACGGAATCGAGCAATAATACAGCTGGGAAATTTTTCGCATAACGAAAATGAAAAAAAATTGTGATTGGGCTGTGGAAACGTCTTATTACAACCATATATCTTTACATTCACACAAATGTCTATCATTTCACAGCAAAAGTAATCAAGACAGAAGGTTTCATTAACTTAGCACATGAAGTGCAATAGCACATCAACAGGTATCTTTTAACTGTATATAAACGATTTTTCGCCGTTTTGTTACCACTTTCTTAGCAAGTAACCTAAAGAGATGAAAACTAGATCCATTATGTTATATCTCTAAGATCTCTACATCTCTAAAAGCCAATTTCTTTTGGAAGCGATAGCTGGACAGGCGAAAAAATGTGTTATTTCTTTTTATAAATATGAAGTTACTTTTCATATGCACCTACACACCAATGACCGACAGAACTTTAGTAAGCCTTGTAATATTCATGCGGTCTCTTATAATGATTACTCAAAATTTAGTCTTAATTTATGAAGGTCATGTTAACCGAGAAGTTACATATGACCTGATTGTCATGCACTTGTTATTAGTAAGCTGAAAAATGTAGAGCTTTCCTTAATGATCTGCATAAACTAGTACTCTTAACGATACATCCAGAAACCAATACCAAGATAGGTCAAATCGTCTATTTTTTTATATCCCTTAATGTTTCTTTTCTAAAAACCTAAATGAAAGTAATGTCAGCTAGTCAGTTTAGTTAGCTAATATCAATGTTTGGTGTTATGAATGATTTAAAAGTTGCAACTGCTACCTGGTCAATAAAAATGGCAACACTACATTTGTCCATTATGTGACTTGTAATTAGTCAACATGCCTTCGTGAAAAATTGTGGCTGCCTGTTGTTATCCAGTTATAAATTTCTGAGCTGAGCCAATTGATATCTCGTAGTTTGCTTGAAAGTTTGTTCTTTTTCACTTGGTTCTTGAAAGAAATATTAGTTGAAAGTTTCTTTCGAGCCAATAGTATAGAGTCAGATAATCCAATGTCAGCTTATAAAGTAAGTTTGGAATTGTGTCTAAAACCAACCTATATCTGTACATACTTTCTGTCCAGATGCTTTACATATATTTGTGATATACGTAATTTTATAAAGATTTCAACAGTTTTGGTGAGCTTCAGAAGTCCTTCAACCTACGATATTTTTAATGCATTTTTCAGCTTTTCAAATATTTTTTATACCCAGCACTATTTAGTTCCCATCTTCGTGACCGTTATAATTACCTTTATGGATACCTATAACAGTTCTGCAGTTGATATCATAATGTAATAAAATAAAATAAAAGTTGAAGACTAAAGATTACGTTAAAATAAAAAATTGATTAAAATGCTTATTTACAGCATTAAATGCTATATATATGCGAAATATGTCTTTAAGAAATCGAGTAATGCTAATAGAAAATTAGAAAAAAATGTTTTTTTGAACTACTCGGCTTAAAAAAGAATGATTTAATATATTTTGAATAATCTGAAAGGCACAGTATTCACAATATAAAATATTTCTATAGTGAAATTCTTTTTCATTTACGAAATTGAAATGAGATTTTTCATACCTCCCTCGTATGAAGTTAAATTAAAACTTTCTTAAGTATTAATTATCTGCTCATGTGGTATTATTATCAATAAACGTTAGATATAATGACTTTTTTATAGAAAGTAGAACTCATAAAATTGTAATTCAAAGAAAAAAATAATATAAAATTTAATTGAAGCTTGTTGGGGTACAATTTTTTCTATCAGAAAGAGTTAATTAAATTGATTGTAGACATATGACGCAAACGTCTGTACTGTAAATAACCATCATGTGACATGTTTAATTTAAAGGACATATAAAAATAAAAAATCTCATCGCAATAGGACAAATGTAAAACTTTGTTCAAAGGACACAATTGCAAAATGGCGCTGGAACTTGATACGAATGATGCAAGTCGATATATATGGAAGTGTTGGCATGTACTAGGATTACATCCGACCAATAAATATCGCAATCTTTATTGGTGCTATGCTGGCTTCATATTTCTGGCAGCTGTTTGGCATCCGTTTCATCTATTGTTGCAGATGTTTTTCATTGGTGATTTCATACGCGTCATTAACAATCTTTCCATTAGCTTGACATTACTTTGTGCCACCGCGAAACATGTGATTATGTTTTACTTCACAAGAGTAAACCTACAAAAAGCGCGTACATATTTTCGGAAATTAGATGAACATGCAAAAACAAATGTATCGGAAAGGGATATGCTTAATGCTGAAGTACGATTCTGTCATCGCCTGTATTACTGTTACATAGTGACGTATTTACTGCCTTTGATTGCATATTCTGTCTTAGGTTACTATCAGCACTCATTGCTTTTTGAAGGCTGGTTTCCATTCGATTGGACTGCAAATGAAGGTGCTTATTATTTGGCTTATGGTTCACAAGTTTTTGGCACTAGTATCACATTCATGCAGAACCTGACTTGCGATACTTGCCCCATTATATATTTGCTTATTGCATTGGCACATTTACGCGTGATAAAGAGCAGAATGTCAAGAATGGGAAACGTTATGTTCAAAAGCAATGAAGAGCGATATGAGGAGTTGGCTTTTTGTGTATCGGTTTATGAGGATTGGATGCAGTAAGTAAATTTTGTATTAAATATTATTATTATTATAAATATTATAATATTCTAAAAACTGTATAATACATTAATATTCTTTTAGACTTTTTTTAAGTGTACGTCCTGTTGTCTCCGTTGTGATGGGTACACAATTTACGGTGACTGCATTCGTTGCATGTTTTTCAGCTGTCACTTTTATGGATTCGCAGAGAAGTCTTCTACAAGTGACTGTATCTACTACTTATCTAATGTGTATACTAGTTGAGGTATTACCCTGCTGTTGGTGTGTGAATGAATTAATCGCTGAAACGAGAAAACTAACTAGTGCTTTGTATAGTTGTAATTGGTACCAACAGAACACTAAATTTCGACGAGCTTTAATTATTTTTATGACCAGATCGCAACAGGAAGTAAATATATTGGCAGGGAATATAGTTCCAGTTACACTACAAACATTCATTTCGGTAAAATAAGTACAATATATGTATGTAAAACCTTATGTTAATGAAATTCTACTCAATTACAGATGGTCAAATTTTCATTCTCAATGTATACTTTACTTAACGAAATACGTGAATAGTTTAGGATTTCATAAGTGAACTGTAAATGACATAAAAGTGGTTATTTTCAATAATAGAAATTATTTAAAATTTTAAATAATAAAGTTATGAATAATTATTATGGTCACCAGTAAATCGCGCTTATCTAAGGTTACTATGAATGCACTGAAATGGTAACTCAGCAAGTTTAATTAAATTGTAGTTTTGACATACTCGGAGTGTATCTTGCTAAGTTTTGTTACCAATGGCTTTATAGTGACTTTCTGCATTTCCTACTAAATTAATTTTTATTTGTAGCACATCGAAAAGAAGATCTAGCTTTCCTATTAATTACTACAACTATATGTCCGAAGTATTAAGTGTCATAGCGTCTATGTTTCCATTGTGGATATTCGGTATGTTCTCATGAAAATTTAGTAAAGTTAAGCATTCATCATGCTTCGTAGTAACTCAAATGAATATCTTACGTTTTCCGCTTGCCTGAGTTGGACATTGTATTATGCGATTACACACAATGAAGGATCCGGATGAGTACTGAAATTTAGTAGCATTCAAATGAAACAACATTTTAATGTTTTAATTTATGACAATTTGGTTGAATTGTTGCCTTAAGATTAGCCATGTATGAGAATGGTAAAGGATATGATATGTACAGATGTACATATATTTCATACAATGGTTATGTGTAATATGGATGCTATTCATTAGTAAAGTGGAAATATGAATTAGTACAATTAATGCCTTTTGCTTCTCTAGGCATAATTTGAATTTCACTTAAAATACTGTATTAAAGAATATTGAAAAGTATGAGTTTCAGATTAAATACTAATGAATTTGAATGTGTAATAAGTTATCTTCTAAACTGGCTGTACTTTGATCAAGCACATACGTAAATATTAAAGAGTTCATGTCTTAGAAGAAGGTTACTAAAAATGTGCCATGAAAACTCCAAAGGGTTTGAAAATTTTTTCACTATTACTGTGTTTTTCTGTTTTTACTAGATTCCAGATTAATTAGATTGTTTTTTACTGTTTTCGGCTATTATTCGATTTTTTTGTGCTTTCTTAGAATACAAAATTTTAAAAAAAACAACAGCCAAAATATATGTTTTCAGTTATTTGGTCATTCAAATAAATCATTCGTTTAAAAAAATCACACAATTCATATTGTCAAACTTAAATTTTCTTACTTAAAAATCACTCATACGCCCAGGGTACTTTATTACGATTTCAGTCATCAAACTGATATGAAAATATTTAATTATGGGTAACTGAAGCAACTGAAGATTCACTTGAAATATGAAATATTATATATTCATTAATCACAATTTCTGTTTGCATATAACTCAACTTATCATTTATTCTAGTGTAAGGAGCCTATAAGTATACAAAACACTTAATTGGCACTAAATACTATATATATACAATATAGCACTAAATAAGATATCCTAAAGACAAATGGAAAACTTTTACTCTAAACGTGATTTATCGGCTTTTTAAACCTATTCAAATACATGGAAGTATACGACAAGTGTACAGAGTTGTGGCTTTTGATACACTGTAGTATAGAACTTTGAAATATACTCGATAAGGTATGTATAAATGTAAGTAAAGCAGTGTGGATAGACGAAAAAACAGCTTAAGTGGAACAAAGTTCGGCTTAACTTGCACTTGACAATTGCACTAAATGAAAGCTAAGGCATTGACAATAAAACAGAATGGTTTTGTGACCTGTGGGATGGTTTTTTGCTACATCATTTTACTCCTCCAGGTACTTGTTACTATGAAAATATTTAAATTATAGGTTTCTCTTTGACCACTAAATTTGTTGTAGGTTTTACTATGTTTGTTTTAAGAAAATGTAATTAAGTACTGATATGTGCCTTTATTTTGACATTTTTAGATTTTCTTCTATTATAAAATTTTGTTCTACTTCACGTAATCATATGAAACATTACAGAAGGGCATGTCACTATAAAAAAATATAATGACTCTTGAAAGTTGAAAAAGTATTGTCCTAAGTATTATATCATATAGAAAATTGAATCAATTTTTGACTAATAAAAATCTTTTGGATTCAGTTACATATATGTGGGTTGTGTATCATAGTGAATGGTTCGTAGTACACAAAATGGTCTGGTGACATTTATCTCAAGATAATAAACAAAGATAATTAATTAATAAATTTGAGGAAATGCAATTATTTTGCTTTATTAAAATTTTTTATTGAGTACATTTTGTTATTGTAGTTAAGGTTTATTTTCAATAATTTTTGATCTGTTTTCTTTACCTCAATGTTAATTGCCTCATGAATGAATATCTACAATTTATAACAAAATATTTCACAGTTTAAAGACTTGTTAAAGTTCATGTATTTGCAATTTAATGATCAATTTACTTTTAAGCACGTATTATAATAGTAAATATTTACTTATGCAATAATGGGACCAGTTTTTAAACACCTATAAGAATTTTGACAGAAATAAATATCTTAACAGTACCGACTATATCATTAACTGTTAGAAGCCTATAAATAATCTTGTGATCCATAATTATCATGAATTTATCTTTGACATGCCTCAACTAATTTGTTGGATTTAGAGTCAAAATTGTTTTAACTTACATTAAATACGAAAGATTTTGTTTATTTGTTAGTGTTTGTTCTATAATTCTATAATTAAGAACTTAGTACATTTATTAGAACATTGTTATTAACAACTACATCTAGTATATTAAACATACGAGGTATATAAGGAACCTTAACAAAATATTAACGCATTATTGTTTTCTTGATACTTTAAATGGAATATTAAATGGTGAAAAATGGTAAAAATTGTCAAGAAAAGCAAACAAGGATGGGAAAACATGAAAAGTTTTTCTCGGTATCTGAAATAATACTTCCTTTTTATACGGGATTTCACAACAAAACCTAGTGCGAAAAAATATGCTGTAGTAGATTTTGCGTGAGTTGCATTTGTGTTCGATTGCAAAAGAAGAAAGGTGAGCTAAACTTGGCCTTATCCCTAAGCTCTTTGAATCCATATACATCAGCACGAATGCAATGCATAGCAGCAATTGCTATTTACATTAGGAAAAATGAAACATCGTTTCCTCATATCCTTTCAACAATCAACGAGAGAAATCAATGATTTTAACTACACTCTCGAGGACATTTCCAATGTGATTTCTGTTTTCTTAACATATACTCCAAAAATAGAAGATATAAAAAAAATTATAAGCTCTGTAAAGAGGTATTTATGTATGTACTGATATAGTAGCTTAAGTTAAAAGCAGAGTTTTATGTATGTATACACACATAATATCCTGCTGACATTAGCAAGTTTCCTTTAAATTGTGCAGTGTTTTGATTTCGTATGCTTTTTGAAGTGCACTCACAGTTATTGTAAGTAATATCGTAGGATTTAAAAATATAATAAAAAATTTAATTTTTATTGACTTATATATGCAAATAAATATGCTTGAAATTAAAAGTAATGCTACATCCTTAATGCTACATTTAAGTAAAATAACTTTTATACATTATTAATCATATATGATGACGTTTTCCTTTAACTCCCGTTGGAGTATAGGGACTTCACAAAACATTTCCATCTCATCCTGTTATTTGCTAATCGCTTAGTTTCATTCTAAGATTTGTCAGATTGTTCTATTTCTTTTTGTAGCTTCGTTTCTACATTGTTTTAGAGCGACTACATTTTCTGCAGTCTTCAGGGTTCCAATCTAATGCTTGTCGTCATATTTCATTAAGGTATTTGCACAAAATATGGTCGATCCATTTCCACGTGTGCATTTTTATCTCAGTTTCGATGGGTCGGAATTGACATATTGTGTATAAATTGTTATTTTAGATTGTGTTGGGGCACATAATCTTTAATATATTACGAAGACATCTACTTATGATTTTGTGGGTCAGAGTCTCTATCGTTAGCGATATTTTGCAGCCGTTTTTGTCCTCCTAGGACAGATAAAACTTTAGATTTAAATATCCACATCTTAGTTTTTTCGCAGACTAAGTGCGATTTAAAAATTGATCAGGTGCAACAAAACGAATTTATTCAGAGATATTCATATAGAAGATTATAGATATATTGTGCATGCACTGCGATCTGAAAGATCTTTTGTGCACGTGTAAAAGATATAATTGTTAAAAATATATATAACAAAAGAAGATTATAGATTTATGAATATGTTCATTTCCTTTAGTTAATTTCATGAAACAAAAATAAACATTCAATTAGAACGTTAAGTAAATCATTGAATTGCAAACGTAACTATTTGTAGAAAGGTTAATTATATTAACCTCTTGTTAACTTTTCATACCACTTTATACTATATCAATAAATATTTGATGCTTATGAATATAATAGATTTAACCCTCTAGGAATGAGTGGTTTAGTCCATGCGAGTAGGGCATTCACACTCCGGGGCGCTGGATTATTATCATAGCGTAGGCATTCCACTTCTCCAGAGTACTTTAAAGCAGATATATGTACTATACTATACTACTGATACTACTGAAATATGTGGAGTAAATGGCGGAAAGGCAGCATTTAGGTAAGGCTATATCCACACCCTGTGTTCTGTGCCTTGTTCTGTACGTTTGTTATAATATATGAAAATATATAAATTAAGGAAACGCTCTTTAAAGTACTTTTCGAAAATTAGTTCAGATATAAATTTTATATGTAATTATTTTTATAATGGCAGTCAGTAAATATGAGCGAAACCTGATTAAATGTATAACTATTTCAATAACTTAGAAAATTGAAGGGTCTTAATCAGTACTGTGTGATTCTGTGAATAGTACTATCATTTTATATATTAAAGAACTACAGCTGTCACATATAATAATGTTTTCATTTATAGTTAATTGTGTACTTGTTAAAACTTGCTGTTAAAGTGCACTAATATGCAATAGAAATGTGTTTAAAATATTCTACATGCAGTAATTCCTACAAACTTTGATTTTATAAAAATTATTATTGCAATTATTTATTTGA